GCATTCAACAGTATCAGTAAACACAAACAGTACTGTGCCGTGTTTTATTGTTCCAAAGACAACCAGTGCTCAATTTTAAAAAAAAAAAAGTAAAACTAGAGTATAAGGTTGAAAATTGAAAATAAAAAGTGAAAACCAGTCATTTTCAAAGTCAATTTTACAGCAAAATGCACTTGAAAAAAAAATCAGTAAGTCTAACAGACAAATCACAGCCAATATGATCTAAAAAAACAAGGTGGATGAGTTTGTACACCAACACACACACACACAAACACTGACTGAATGTGTGTGAGTGTGTGAAGAGGCTAGATGCATATTTAAAGGTGATTCATGCAACCCAGAGGGACACGCTCTCACATTACTGCTGGCCCCCTCTCCTCCAACACCTCATCACCAACAGACACACACACTCAMAGAGAATCAAGCACTCACACAAGAATAAAAGTCTTTGCAAGGATGCACGTGAACGGTAGGATGTGGTCAAAAACAAAAGGAGACAAACCTACAGGGAGGGTTAGACYCCTGTGGGCTGTCTCACATGTACACCAGTTCATTCTCTGAATGCTTAGCGAATAATTATCWGCTTAAATATGTGCACTTTTTTCAGTTATTCACTTTGATCTCTAACTGTCCTTTAGGGAAAAAAATGAAGCATAAGGTGTTAACACTTTCACTGCTGAAATTCTTAGAAGCGGGACCAGCTTAAATAACTGAAATTTTTAGACCAAAAGTGTGGATTTTATTTTTTTCTGTTGCATTAAACACAAACAGAATTGGCTAAAAGTCTAGAACAGTGGTTCCCCACTCATTTTCCTCAAAGCAACCATTTCTTACTTCCAAGCCAAGCTGAGCCCCCATCCCACAATCCCTCACTACTCCCCATGTTACAAATAACATAAGGATATTTTACAACACAAAAATAAACTACACTAACAACTTGCCACGTTTGGCAATGTATTTAACTGCAAATGCATTATTTATTTTTTTTAATTTTTTTTAGCTGTTTGCTTCCTTTAAAGTCACTTCTGGTTCATGCAGTTTTTACTTCCTGTTTCACATGAACCCCTTCAGAACAAAAGTACACAACCGCTAGAGCTCCCCTGGTGGAATGGARGGAGTCAATGCAGCATCCCACCTCTACCAAAGATGCATTGAATCTTTATCCCTTTATCAAAATAAGACAATATAATTTCAAACATGTGCTTGCTAATTGAAAATTTAAAAACACATAACTGTTATACAGAGTTTTAACTGTTTAACTATAATTTGTTTTGTTGATTTTTATACACAATCAATAAATTGACATTTTCACAACCCCTAAACAGAAAACCCGCCCCTCTCCCAAAATAGGACAAATGTCCTTACAATTCTACCATTTAATACCAATATAACCACAGTATCAAGTTTCACTGAGTCCTGTATGATTTCATTTAACTATTCGCTAGCATTTGAAGGAAAAAAAAATAGAAAAACATGTTCTTGACTTTCACACTCATATAACACCTTTTTGTTTGAACATGCTGAAAATGTGTGTCTTCAATTCCAGCTATATATATATATAT